TGTTTTAGTGGCTTTTTTAGCGTTTTGTTTAAAAAAAAAAAAAAAAAAAAAAAAAAAATCACCTCTTTTCTTGCTTAAACTTGTCTGTAAAAAGAAGAGTACAGAGCATGAATTAGGCCATTAGATTTCGTTGCCCATAGGTCAGACCTTCATAAGAATCTGGTAATTTTGGGCACACACACACACACACACACACACACACACACACCTTCCTTTATGAAACGACCACGGAGGACAATGTAACTACGCACACACAGCCTGTACTATGTATGCCAACACAACAATCATATCTCGCTTCCATTTTCACGCAGGAATGTCAGAGAGCAGAGGTCAGCACTTCCCACTTGACTCTGACATGCATTTGGCAGAAGCAGATACAGTGTGTTTGTGTGTGTGTGTGTGTGTGTGGGGTACACAACATGGTCATATCTTTGTGGGGACCAAAAATTGGAAGTTTACTATACTTGTGGGGACAAAATCCACGTCCCCGTGAGTTTGAAGGCACGTTGAGACTCAAAGTGTGGTTTTAGTGTCAGGGTTAGGCATTCATTTTTGATGGTTAGGGTAAGCGGCTAGGGAAAGCATTATGTCAATTAGATGTCCCCACAAGGATATGAAAACACAACTGTGTGTGTGTCCCATACATGTCAACAAATTGTCAAAAATGGCATATAAATAACAGCTCTCGAGCCAAACAGCTGTTGTCAGTCACTGGCTGTCATTTCCGCAATACTGCAGCTCTTCTATGCTTCGGACCCTAGAAACAAAAAGCACGTATAGTTTCTGTTCCTTATAGCTCACGCTTATTAAGCACAGAATGTAAGTTTGTGTTAAAGGTATCACATGAGCGTTTCAGTTTCATCTGATACGTTTAGGTATGAAACCATAAGTCATCGATACAAAAACTAAAAAATCTGCCCTGTCTTTGCGTTGCTTGAAGTCTTATGTGGTAGGGAACTGAATAAGTTTGGGTTTCCAATGGTTTTTGAAAGAAAAGAAAAATACACCCTCTGTCAAATGTAAAGTTTTACATACTTTGACATTACGAAAAGAATAATTTAAAAATTGGGTAAAAAAAACAAAACAAACAAACACGAGACAACAGTATATGACTTATATTAGGTGATTACATATTGAACAAAAGCTGAGCTAAAATGCAGAAGCAAAGTTTGAAAAGTGAAGTACACCCCACGTAACTTGTAAAACCACCTTTAGTCATAGTAATGCGAAGTAATCATTTTCTGTATGAATTTTGGTACACTTTTTATTACCACGCTGTTTCTGTTCTTTGAGGTTTTCGAGCAGTCTGTGCATCACTATTTTAAGGTTCCCCACAGTATTTCAGTCTTGTTAAGGTCTGGTCTTTGAAAAAGGAAAAGACTCAAGGTGTTGCAATGGCTCAGTCACTCTGTTGTAGCTTTGCTATGCAGAGGGGTTTATGGTGGACCCAATGACTGAAGGTGCCCAGGTCCTTTTGCTGCAAAAACCCCCCAAATAATCACATTTCCATCACCACATTTGACAGTTTGTATGCTGTCCAGTGTTCTTGGACAAGACTTTGGTTTGCAAAGTTCAGATGCAACTCTGCAAGCGTGACCATGTTGTTTTTTTTGTTTTGCTTCTTTCAAGCATAGAAAAGGTTTCCTTCTGGCAACTCTTCAAAATAAACAATACTCGTTCAGTCTTGTTCTAATTGTACTGTCCTGGATTTTATCATTTGCCTTGCTAACTGTAGTCTGTAGAGTCTGAGATGGGATTTTTGCCCTCTCTGATCATAGCATGGTCTGGCATTGGGGTGACTTTGCAGGGATGCTGACTCCTGGGAATACTGGGAACCATCTGCAGTGTTTTCCACTTGTGGATTTTCTTTTCACACTATAGCATAATGGGCTTTAAATTCCACTGCCAATTCATGGGCAGCAATAACTACTTTTTTAAATGAACTGCTTTCATCAGCTTCTTGATGCTAAAAGAACCTCTCAGCTGCTGAACGATATGGAGGATATCAGTATGACTCAGCAGATGGGTGGGGGCATTGTTGTTGTTGTAGTAGTAAGAGTCCACCCCCAGCAGGACAGAAGTGTTTGATGATGGGGTAAAGGTGATCACTCTGAACAACTTTGTATTGATTTGAAATTACTTTTCCCTCTAAAAAGGGACAACTAGATGGACCCAGATCATGCTAGCAAAATTCCTCCTCAGCATAACAAAGCAGATCCCCTCACTGTAGGGGGTCAAAAGCTTAGGTTTTCCCCCTTTATTTGCAAACTGACTGGATGTGTATTGATGCATTCAAGCTTCTGAAACAGATTCAGTCTGAAATCAGCGAATGAGTTTTGATATTCTTTTGGTTTTAGAGAGGGGGGAAAAGTGATTAGAACCACCTAAGCAACGTCTAGATAGCTAAAAGCTGCTGGTCAGCAACAGCTGGGATAGCTCTTGCTGTCTTGCTGACGGGCAGCTGGAAAGGCTACAACTCAAGATCCTCTTCATGTACAAACAGTGTTTTAAGTGAGACAACATTACAACAGTTTCACTGATAAAAGCAGTGAGTTCAGGCATTTCCTTCAGATGGATTAGTTTAACTTTGCAGTAAACAGCCAAAACAAAACGTCAGCGAATGGAGGAATGTGGATCCGTTAAGATATGTATGTACAGAAGGTTTAATAGAGTGCACGTTCAGTTTTTCCCCCCATTGTATTCTGTCAAATACTGTTAAAATGGTGGATGTTCAGTATTCAGTTCAGCATGTTACGCCCCTATCAGTTAATTTGGACATGTACGCTATTACACATATGCACACACTTCAAAACCCTCTATAGTCAAGCTAATTAAGAGGATGAAACCTTATTACAGTAGTTTACACTTGCAGTCACTCGCAGACCAATGGCAGATTACGTAATTTTAAAAACATTTCTGTTCCAGTCAGTACAGGGAGGATGAACTTTTTGGTGAAAAAAAAGTGAACTTTTTGGTGAAAATGCACAAAACAATATCTGACACACACCAATACCTCAACCTAGCTTTAAAGCACAGTGGAGGCAGCATCATGTTTTAAGGCTGTTTTGAATATTGCATAAACACCATTTACAGGTTTCTGTCAATGCAGCAACAAAATGGTTAAAAAGAAATACATGAATGAATGGGGAACACCAAGTCTGAATGCTGACCTTTACTAAAATGTTGAGGCTTGATTTGAAGGAAGACGTTTTCTCAATAAATCATAGGAATGTTGAACACTGTTTCTTTTTTCAGGAGAGTAGTGGGAAGAGAAAAAAAAAATCTTCCTCTTCACTGTGAGAGCCTCACAAGCACCTATGAGGAAATATCTAATTGAGGTTGTTTCTAATAAATTCGTTTTTAAAGGTTTACTTATATTCTGCAGGCTGGACTGTGGTGGGGGATTATTCATTTTGTGTTCAATAAATAAATGAGAAGTACAGTCTTTGTGTGTTATTAGTTTAGTCACCACATTTTATATGCATTTAGTCCTGAACCGACTGCAGATTTATAACCATGTTTTCATGTGAATTCATAATCACTTTCACAGTCCTGACTAATCATCCTTATACCATTAATTGGTCAGCAGGAGAAAAGGGAAAATGATAAAAACCTTGGTCAGCATTAATCATAATAATTATGACCTGAGAAAGGCTTCATCTGGGATTTCACAACAGAATGATTCAATGTTTTAAAAGTTCATTCTACATGTTTATAAGATCTTCAGCCAAAGAGAAAAAGACTATGGCGAAATAATGAAATAAGATCCACCAGCTCACCCCACCAGGTTTTTTTTTTTTTTTTTTTTTTTTTTACAAGGAACTTCTTTAAGGCACGCGCACGAACACACACACACAGGATGCAGAATGGTTATTATCATTGTTATCATTCCTCCCTTTCAGCCACCAGATGGGTCCACAATTGGATGTATACATTGAAAAAGCACACGCACACGCACACACACTTGCTCCCTCATATTTCACTCCAGAAAAATCTACTATGAGAATTCAACATCAGTGTCCAGATTTCTTCTTCCACCATGTGGTACAAACTGTCAGGGTGACAAAAATGTGAGAGGTGTGACACCAACAGCTGGAAGATACTAGCTTCATTAATGGATTTGTGCCCTTGTGGTAGATCACAGCAAGTCGCAACAAGCCATTTTGGTTCTAGTCTTTCAAGACTGACATATTCAGTCTCTGGAGCCCACCCTCTTCACATACACACACGAAGACGCAAAAATAAACACACCTTTCAGCAGTTCCCATGACAGGATTTTAACTGTCAGAGAGAGATATTCAGTGACACTGATCTTCGCTTTTCCTCTTAACCTTAAGTTTTTGGGTTGTTTTTTTTTTTAAAAAGGAGGAACAACCCTGCACTTCTTGGCAGTATGAATGCAATCAAGGGGAGGTAGAGATGCACGCACGCATACACTGACGTGCACAAAGTGTCGCCAACTGGCTGACAGTGATATGAGATAGTGCGTGTCCTATTTTAACCCCGATCATTTCAGTGAAGAAATCGGTGCAGTGACACCCAGAGATAAACAGAAGTCCAGGCAGCTTTCACACTCAGTCCTGGGAAAGATTATTGGCTTGTTCGAACAAGGTAGAGACCGATACCGATTCGCACAGTTTAACAGTATTGCATATTTTAAAACCACTGCCAGTCATGGTCCTGATGTTTTTCCCGAATCCGTGAGTAATATCTTAAAGGGGCGTTAAAAGTTTCTGTAATCTTGCAGCGACCCATGAAGCAACATGTGGGTAATCTACCAGAGATATATAAATCAGACCTGTGCGTACGGTTGTGCAATCCCCTGTGCGTCACTTTGAAGGCCATTCAACTTTTAATGTGGACTTACTATGCTGTTGTTCCGTCCATACAAAAATCACTAGTGAACATTAAACCACAGCCAATAACCTACGTCCAGAAACTAATCACGTTTTCAGCCATATTGTCAGGAGGAGGAGGGCAGAACGGGGGTTTTCACTTACCAGCAAAGACGCACAGAATATCCACCGCAACCAGAATCAGTTTCTTCCCATGTTCTGCCATGCTTCTTCAGACGGCTCGCCACTTTTATAAATAATAAATAAAAACCGCGTTTGGGGGAAAAAACAAAAAGCAGGCAGGAAGGTTGTAAACTGAACACCTGGAGAAACTGTGGACAAAGTACTAACAGGAAAGAATAACCTGCTCGCTCTTCCGCCTCCAGTGATCCTTACCTGCCCGCCTCCCTTTATGCCTGTCTATCTGTCCGTCTGTCTTTCTATACACTTCGTTGTTGGCAGGTAAGTCGCAAAGGAAGCACGTTTTGGTTTAGCCTGCCTTTTTTACGCACGGGGGGCGCGTCTGTCTTTACAGAAAAAAAGAGAAAGCTAACAGATAATTTATCGTCCCAAAACGCTTGATGTTGGAAAAAAAGGGAAATTCCCCGACTTTCTCTCTGCTTTCCCTTTCTCTGCTTAGTTTGCAGGGTAATTAAAAGTTCGGCAATGTTCTCTCCAGTGCTGAGACTTTTTTTGGGATAAAATCATGTCACCCTTCTTTTTTCCAAACTAATAATAAGGAGTGCAGCGATTTCACCCAACTTTGGCCTGGTTTCGCACTAACAGAGAGTCACTTAGGTAAAGTATAGCACATTTGCCGAGGATTTGCGACCTGCTGACGCACAGTTGTAAGGGAATCAACGCATTTCTTTTAAATTTATTTTATTTTGCGCTTAAAATGAGTGGCAAACACTAGGTGCTGTAAACTAAGTTGGATAACGATGAACGGTTGGCCCAAACATGGCCTACATGTGCAGTTTTCTATTGGTTAAATTACATATATACTAAACTCAAGGTGGGTCTGGCTACCGGAACACAGACACCACCCTGTATGATACAGATGTTGGTTGTTTTGGGACATTTGGTGTCCACATTTAATCACAATCAGCACTTAGACTTTAAACTATAACAGCTCAAGTCTCCACACACCTGAGCCTTAAGACACAGATGAGGTGTGTCTGCTGTCTCGTCAACAATCAGCTTCAAAAATAGGATACAGTGCTGTTATTTAAATAGTTACAAGTGCACAATTCTGACCACGTACTTGATTTGCAGGCTGCTTGCAGAGAGTGATTTATATTATCAAAATGTATCTAATTAAATATTAATTTCATTAATGTGAACAAGCTTCCATCTCACAATTCGGCCCTAATAAGTTTTTCTTATCTCTGTTTTTATGTTCTTGCCTTTCGTTGCTAGTCGTAGTGGCTGAATTTCAGTTAGTCTCTTTAATTTTACACACAATTTACACACAGACTAAATAAAGATTCCTTTACAGTAACTATAATGTGGTTTGCTGAAAACGAATATATATATATATATATTTTGTTGGAGTGATGAATCGAAACACAGAATTAGCACACAGTAAATTTAATATTTTACCCTTGAAATTCTGGTTCATACATTGAAGTGGATATTTTAATTCTCACAACGTACAAATTATGTAAACCAAATACAAACTCAGCTCGGAAGTATTCACAGTTACAAAGATGGCTCATTCTACTGTAACGATAAACTCAAGTCAGCAGCAGCATTTTGAGGGGTCTGACTCTGAGACATGTACATTTTTAAAACATGAGCCCACTTTCCAAACTGCAGGCGTGTAACAGAAAATAGGTAACATGTAGCAGAAGAGTCTAGTCTAGCTGTAACAAACCAGAAAGATAAGAAATGCTGTTAATGGACAGTCTAGTTAGTCTTTGTTCACAGTATTTATAACTAGTTCAAGTCCTTTTTATATATATATATATAACTAAATCTATATCTTCCTACTTAGACAGATATAGATATATACACTCACTGGGCACTTTATTAGATACACCTTGCTAGTGCTGGGTTAGGCCTCATTTGGTCTTTAGATTCAACAAAGTGCTGGAAACATTTTGGGCCATACTGACGTGAGAGCATCACACAGCTGCTGCAGATTTGTTGGTTGCACATCCAATGATGCTAATCTTTTATTCCACTACATCAAAAGCTTCTCTACTGGAATGTGACCAGAGGGCATTTAAGTACAGTGAACTAATTGTTATGTTCAAGGAATCAGTTTGAGATGATTTCAGTTTTCTGACACGGCATGTTATTTTCTGGACACAGCCACCAGAAGATGGTCATAAAAGGATGGATGTCGTCAGTAGCAATATTCAGGTGGTAATTAAACAATGCGCAGTGTGCCAAAAAAAGCGTAAGACCACCATGACCAGGCTAAATTGTTGATATAATGGAGGAATGATTCATGTTTTTATCTTTCTTACTCCAAATTCTGATGCTACCATGTGAATCTCACAAAAGAAATCGAAACTCATCAGATTAGGCAACATTTTGGCACGGCATGTGGTCTTCTGCTGAGGTATGATGCATACTTCAAGGCGTAACGTCTGTGCGTTCAGATATATGCTTTTTGGTTCTAATCAGTGGCTATTTGAGTTGCTGTTGCCTTCCTGTCAGCTCAAAGCAGTCTGACCAGTATCCTCTGACTTCTGGCATCAACAAGGCATTTTTACCTAGAGAACTGCTGCTCACTGGATATTTTCTTTGCTTTTCTTTTTCTCTGGACCATTCTCTGTAAATCTCAATAGATCAGCAGTTTTGGAAATACTCACACCAGCCCAACCCTAAAACCAATAACCATACATACTAAAGTCATTTGAATCTCCCTTCTTCCCCATTTTAATGCTCACTTTGAGCTTCAGAAGATTATCATCTATGTGTCTAAATGTACCGAACTGGCTAAATAGACTAACCAGTTGAACTTGTGTATCTAAAAGAGCGCCCAGTGAGTGTATGCTTTTTTTCTTCTTCATAGGCACACACATAAAGCTTTCAGATACCTGATTTCAACTATATAAGCAACAAGAATAAATCACTTCACTAAAAATAGAAAAATAACAGCCAAGTCAAACATCATTAAAATACAGGGAGCAGTTTGCGTTAACATTCCTCAGCACTGACAGCCAAAACATGCGGCGTGTATATTAGTAAGATGAGAAAAAAAAACTTCATAATGCCTCAAAACATATACAAAAAAGTAACCAACCAATCACAAATGAGTGTGTTTACATATATATATATATGAAAATAATCCATCCTCCCTTTGACTGCTCATATTTATCTTGTCAAATAAAAAAAGATGTTCTTTACAGAGCCAGGCCAGCTGTTATCCTCTGTTTTCACTTTCTATGCTTCTGCAGAGTATAGCTTCACATTTACTGTAGAAAAGTGGTATCCAGATTCTCATCTCCTTCTTAGGAAGAACTCGTATAAGTGCATTTCCCTAAACGTCAAATGTCAATGGCAACTGATTCCTGTTCACATCTTTTTTGATGGGAAAGATTCCCCAGCCAAAGCTTGAGAACATTCCCATCATTGGAGAATTCCCAGTTGCATGAAAGGGGCTAATGTTAACTGGACTGTTGTCAGCTGACCTTACTCATTACAGTTACTGCATCCTGACTTTGAAATCATTTGACTACAAAAATTAAAAAACACCAACAACAACATTTTTTCCATATTTTATGACTAGGAGGCAGCAAGGTGGTGCAGTGGTTTCCATTTTTGCCTCATAGAAAGAAGTTCCTTGGATTAAAGTCCACTGGCTACCTGGGCCCTTTCTGTATGAAGCTTGTATGTTCTCTCTGGATACTCCAGCTTACTCCCAGAGATATGTATGGGGTTAGGTTAATTGGTGATTTTAAACTTGCCATGAGTGTAAATGGTTAGACTGGTGACCTGTACTGGGTTTACCCTGTCTTTTTGTCCTATGACACAGCCGGAATAGGTTCCAACACTCGCCCCGGCAACTGGATAAGCACAAGGTGGATGCATATAAATAAAACACAATAATGACATTTTTGATGAATAAATATTATGTACTTCCCTTTCGTGACACTAAATCGTTGACGAAATGTAAGGATCACACTCCACAGGACAGTAGGAGAAATCCACAAAGATAGAAGGGAGAAACTGTGAAAATGATGTTGTGAAATTATCTGAAGAATCACTGGGCTGACGGATGTTGTTAGACTGCATCAATGAGTTAAAGCTGCTTTGAGAAAAAGGATGCTTGAGGGAACTGATTTCTGTTGTGTGAGAAGGTAAAACAGCGGAAGAAGATATACTGCTTAAGTCAGAGAAGGAAGCGGGGATCTGATGGTGCTGCAGAAAATGATGCAAGGTTTTCTGTTCATCCTTGGGCTGTGACTGAGATGGCTCGCTGGCTCCACCTAGCTGCAACTTAGCATCATTGACGTTAGCTGTCTGCCAGTCGTACTGGTCACAGGAGAGGTGCACAAGAGGCCCGGGAGTATTCTGGAGCGGTCTGGATAACATGACACTGGAGTAATCTGAGCAGCAGGGGGAAAGATCAGTTGCAGACCTTCTGGTTAATGTTTTCCCTGATCTACTAATGTCAAGTGGAGACCGGAGACTGGAATATGTTCGCAGATTACAGACACCCTGATAGCTGTGGTCCTGATCCAGGCTGGAGTTCTCCAGCTCACCAAGCACAATGACTTCAGAGTATTTGACTGCAGGCTTCTCCGGCAGCACAAGAGGATTCATACTCTGTGGGGGGGGGGGAAAGCAATGAAGTCAGACATGCTATCTCTATTCCAAGCTCTTTGCACTGCCACTGCTAAGCACCGTACTTTAGAATTTTAAAACAGAACGAACAAGAACTGTAAAAATGGCAAAAAAGCACAGACTGCTTTCTCTGTCTGAATTCTGAATTCACAAGTGACCGACCAGAGAGTTTATCAGCTTGGCTCCAATGACCCACTTTGGGAGACAGCCTCAAGTGGCCATCTGAGGAATTGCAGTTCTTGGCACTTTGCATTATGTGGCTTGGTTCCCACTGACAGTAGCCTTAAAATGGATCGACAACGGGTATTTTCACTTTCAACTAATTGGGCAGCATATTTTTTTTCTCATCAAACATTATTTAACACCCGTGATTTGTTTTACAGTATTTGCAGCCACAGATTGGTACAATAAAGTCTGCCCTTTTGAATAGCGGTAAGCTCCATAGAACAAACAGAACAAATGTCAGGCTTTTGCAACTCAAACAATACATGAAAGAAGGATCAATTGATTATTGGTTTTATTGTGATTGGCTGAAAAAACCTGATTTACCTCCAAGGTAGTTTTAGGGGCCCAGTGGGACAAGCTACTGCTGGAAGGATCAGGGACATCTTTACACAGCTTCTCTTTCACACTAAACATCACAGAAAATATAAATAAATAAATAAGTAAATAAAAAACGTAAAAATTCATCTCAAGGCTTTGCATGCAATAGCTATAT